CTCCTACCCATGCTCCGCACCCACAATGAGCCCATCATCATTACTGCCATCCCTCTGCTGGGCGTGACCATAGCTGCAAAACTGTGTCACTGCCATTAGACTGTGGTGTGCTAATCAGTCTGTATCTTAAAAGACTGAAAGTGGGAATAACCTATTTAAGAAAATCACTTAGATTTATATAACTCCTTCCTTCTTTCTTTTCTTCTTTTTCTTCTTTCCTTTCTTTCTCTTCAGGAAACTTGAGGTGATTAGCTTCCATCGGGATTGCACCATAGCAACGAAAGGACACACTCGAGAGACCCCCATAGAATTTTTGCCTGTGGCCCTCCCAGGTTGCAAATTTTACTTACTTTCCAGGAGGAAATGAGCTAGGTGTGATGAGATGACTAAGACAGTAACTGGCAGACATCTCAGATTCAGTGATGGGAGTAATCAGATTGGAAGCATTTAAGAGGCACAGCGTGTCCTGAAAAAATTTCTAAGGTTGCCCACTCCAAAAAAAAAAAAAAAAAAAAAAAAGGAGAGGGGATTTTGGAAGATTTCTTGGTGCAAAATTAAAAGCAGTAGACATTAATTATAGCTCAGTTAAGGGGGAATTGTACATCGTTAAGGAAAAATAATGGAGGGAATGTGTCAAAAGTATAACAGACTAGAGAAAGAAATGGGTAAAAATTGTTGATTTGTTCCACAGGCATTTCTGTGGAAATGGAAACAGAAGACCGTTTTCCACCGGTCTCCGTGTTATATGCTGATCGTATAAAGATGAATTTGTCTTTGTCCCTTTGTGGAGCTTATTCTGTTATGTTAAAATGTGAAGAGAATAGTACTCTTAGACAGTATTGAAAATGTTTCCAAAGTTGGGGCAGTCACTTTCTCTGTACCCTTGAGCTATTTGTTCTGTATGACAATTTCCAAAGGTACTAAAGGTATTGCTTTTTTGGGAAGTGAACTTTTCATACAATAGGTAGGTTTCTAACAATCTGGACAATAAACCCACGTATTACTTAGAAAAGAATTTGAAAATAGTGTGATGTTCTGTAAAGGAAAAGAAATATCTGTATTGACTGCTCTATTTAACTCACTGAAGAATTCTAGATTTCTGCATAGCCCCCTTTCAGTAGCAGATGGGTTTTTTATATCAGTATTCCCTTGACCATCATTTATGAACCCACTGAATAATTTTACTTTTTTTTTTTTTAGATTTTATTTATTTATTTGAGAGAGTGATCACAAGTAGGCAGAGAGGCAGACAGAGAGAGAGGGGAAGTAGGCTCCCTGCCGAGCCGAGAGCCTGATTCCGGGCTTGATCCCAGGACCCTGAGACCATGACCTGAGCCAAAGGCAGAGGCCCAACCCACTGAGCCACCCAGGTGCCCCAATAATTTTACTTTTTAAATACTATACACAACTCAGAAAGTTCTTTATGTTGTTACAGATTTTATCAACCCACTTAACCTCTTTAATCCTTCAAAATCCTTTGAGAAATATAGTTAAACCATAATTAACTAATGTTTTCTTCATAACAATCCTTCCAAGAAAGAAAGAAAGTAAAAAAGAAAGAAAGAAAGAAAGAAAGAGAAAGAGAAAAATAAAGAAAAGGAGGGTTGTTGAAGTCTTAGACGCTGGATGATGACAGGGAAAACAATTAGGAATTCCAAGGAAAGAAACAAACTAAAAGGGAACGTAATTATAGTATACTACTTGACTCTGTAGTGGGAAAAAACATGAACAGTACAGGAAGATACAGTCATAACAAAGTATCTACTCCGGGAGGTGGAAAAAGAAGTGAGATAGTGCAAAACAACAAAATTCTTTTTTTTTTTTTTTTTTTTTTTAAAGATTTTATTTATTTATTTGTCAGAGAGAGAGAGGGAGAGAGAGCGAGCACAGGCAGACAGAATGGCAGGCAGAGGCAGAGGGAGAAGCAGGTTCCCTGATGAGCAAGGAGCCCGATGTGGGACTCGATCCCAGGACGCTGGGATCATGACCTGAGCTGAAGGCCGCTGCTTAACCAACTGAGCCACCCAGGCATCCCAAAACAACAAAATTCTTATCATTATATAATATAGTAAGTAGATAATGTCTAAAATTATTAAATTGGGAAATAGAAGTAAGTAAAGGAGACTATTTTAAATTAAAAGAGAATTAAAGACCCAATACATGGGCTTTCATTACCCAGACCAGCTACAAAGGCCATTTTAAAGACAACTAGGGCAATCTAAATATGTCCTAAGTTTTATATATGATATTAAGAAATTATTGCCATATAAAGAAGTTGTGATACACACACACACACACACACACACACACACACGATGGAATATTATTCAACCATAAGAAACTAGGAAATCCTGCCATTTGTGAGAACATGGATGGACCTTGAGAGCATTATACTAAGTGAAGTCAGTCAGATAGAGAAAGACAAATACTGTGTGATCTTATTTGCAGGTGGAATCTAAAATAAAACAAAACAACACAAAAACTGGACTCACAGAAAAAGAGATCAGATTTGTGGTTACCTGAGGCAGAGGGTGGGGTTGGGGGTAGGGAAATCAGAGGAAGGTGACCAGAAGGTTCCAACTTTCAGTGATAAGATAAGTAAGTATTAGGGATGAAATGTACAATACAATGACTATAGCTAACACTGTTGTATGTTATATACAAAGGCTGTTAAGAGAGTAAATCCTAAGAGTTCTCATTATAAGGAAAAAATTGTTTTCTTTTTTTGCTTTCTTCTCTTGCTGTATCTATGTGAGATGATGGGTGCTAACTAAATTTCTTGAGGTAATCATTTTATAATATACATAAATCAAACCATTATGCTGTACACCTTAAACTTATATGGTGTAGAAGTTTCTGTGTATGTGTATGTCAATTATGCCTCGATAAAACTAGAAAAAATTAAAAACATAAAATAAAAGGATTATTGTCATTTTTGTTAGGTATGATATTTTGGCTATGCATAATATAGAATGCCATGATAACTTTAATATAAAGTACATAAGCATTTTTAAATACTTTACAGTTAGATACACAGCAACATTTAGAAAATCTTCAGACTTTCCTATTTGATTTTGGATCTGTATATGCATTCCTTGATTTTAAAATTTGTTTAAGTAATTTTGATAATGTATTTCTAGATTAGTGCACATTCAAGTCCCACTTCCCAGTCACCACTATATCTTACAGTTAAAGCTAATGCATTCAAAGATGACTCTTGCTTTGCAAGGTTCCAAGCTTTTAAACAACAAATTTAATTATGTTCTGTGCAGTTTATCTAATTAGGCAAGAAGGCAGACTAACAGAGTTTTAAAGAGTTTTTCATTATAAGATTGAAACAAACAAACAAAAAAGATTATTAGCTAGGGAATTAAATTAACCAAGTATTCTCCAAGTATTTGGGTTGGTTAACAGGCATGGTTGGTAAGCCTCAATCAGACTAAAAATACACATCCTAACTAACTGTTGTGGGATAATGGTTAAGAACATAGCAAATGTGTTCAGAATACCAAGGGGACTCCTCTGTCTCTGTGACTTTTAGGGTAGGGGATGTGGGCATGATCTACTTTAAAAATGGATGAGATAAGCTTACATTTCAATGATAAAACTAGGATTTTTAAAATGTATTTAATTGGGGGGGGGGAGTTGGATTGCTCCATCGGTTAAGCATCTGACTTCTGCTCAGGTCATGATGTCAGGGTCCTGGGATCAAGCCCCACATTGGGTTCTGTGCTCAAAAGGGAGTCTGCTTTGCCCTCTCCCTATTGCCCTCCCCTACCTTACACACTCTCTCTCTCTCAAAAAATAGATAAAATTTTTTAAAAATGTATTTAATGACTAAATGACTATTTAATGACTATACCTGAGAGGAAAAGAGTTCCAGAAAGATATTTCCTCCTAAGAAGCACGTAGTACATAAAGTAAATATGGTTTTGGTTGGTTGACTAACACTTTCATTACTTAAATCTCTTTTGCACTAGACGTAAATGAGCTTTCTAAGGTGTAAGGCTTGATAGAATTTTTAAAGTATCGTATGAATCACAGGGAGAAATAAGAGTCATCCAAAGGAAAACAACTTTACGTCATACCCACACCCTTAAGTTCATTGCAATGTCATATTAACGCAGTCATGTTTTAATTTGGGCGACAGTATTGACATATAACTACTAATCCATTTAATTGGTTGGTTTTAACTCATTAATCAGTGTCATCAGTTTTAATCCTCCATTCAGTAAATAATTGCAAAGCATCTATATGCAGCTCTATATACCCTAGGGACTGAGAATAGTAAGCAAGACAGACATGATCCCCATCCTCGTGGAGCTTATATTCTAGTGGGAAGACAGGTATCAAACAGGAATTGAAATGAAACATAGCGTTTTTAGGGGAGAAGGAGAGGTAGACCTTGAGAGCACATAGAAAGGAACCCAACCAGGCTTCTTAAAATATCAACCAGGACTTTCATAGAGCTCTCCCTAGCCCAACCCTTCCTCGAGGTTGAAAATCCAAGAGTAAACACAGAATCCCCAATGACTGGTAGCTATGCAGGAATACAGGACTGTCAGAGCTGAATATATGATCCTTCTGCAGAGCGCTGTCTCCATTAACAACATAGTTTATGTGGCTCATTTTCCTGGTAAACTCTTATAAACTTTGTGTGCCAAGGAATGCTTGGGTGGGGCGCTTGCCGGAATTAGGGATGTGGGCTGACCTTGTGGATAGGTCGTCAGACAAGTCTAGGATCTGACATGACCCTGCTAACCTCAATATAGATACCAATATGGTAGCACCGAATATTTGCAGAGAGACTGTTAACATGAACCTAGGATACCTACATGACCACCGAGCATTTGAGTTAGATGGATGGGGGAGGACCAGCTAAACAAATTGTGAAATTTCTAACTGTAAGCAAAACTGAGGGTCTTTCTTGTGAGCCAGATTTGCATCGTATTCTTAGTAACTGTTGTGTTGGTTTTGTTTATTTGTTTGTTTAATTTCAGAACGTCCTCATTGTTGAGGTAAGCTGACTTTTCTTTGTCCATATGGGGAAGTTGAAAGAATCTAACGGTGAGTATTGAAATATAGAATTTATTATCCAATTGGTCAAGGATCTATTGAATTTCCACCGTGCACATGGCTCTCCAGATTTCCTAAGAGCTAACTAGAATCAGTGGCCTGAAACAGTTTAGAATAAAAGCTTTGGAATAATAGTTTCGTGGTACTTTATCCATTTTTATGTCTAATTTCATGCCCGTCCACATTGGTTCTTCTACCAATGTGCGAATCAGGCATTTTTACAGAAGAGGAAACTAACCCAACAGAACCAAATGTATGTAATAGCAAAACCAAGATTTGAATTCTTCTCACCCTTGAGTCAGTGTTCTTGCTAATGACCCCTAAGGACTTCAAACAATTCTACCTTCAGCAGCCAAGTCATAAATACAATCAATTTTCAAATGGCAATCTAAGAGAAAGCTATAATTTAATTTAATTTTCTGCTAAAAAAAGAAAAATGGGAGAGAACGGGTCCTATGGAAGCAGCGGACTTAATACAGCACATGGCCACTTTTCCTTCAAGAGCACGCCTGTCTTATCAACTGGCAGGAATTCAAGAGAGCTGTTTTCAAGCTTTCGTTACACAATTGCCTGTGTGTGCCATTTGTATCTGCGGTCCTCCCGGCTCAGACCTAAGCCAGGAAGTAAACCCTCTAGCCAAGCGAATTGCCCAACCCCGGCTAAATTCAGACCTGTTGTTTTGATAATCAGCTCCCCGACAGCTGATTTCTGTCCCAAGGACAATACATTTCTGCTGCCCATTCTCCTCTAATTGTGCAGCAGCTCGTCAGCAGAGATGAGCCGAGAGGCTCACTGCAGCCTCGCACCCTCAGAATTCACAGGCTGTCACCAGCTGCCGTCCAGACACATCTCACTTCCCGGCCACAGAATGCCTTATTGAGTGGGGAGGGCAAGGGGGAGGTGTTTATCCATTCAGTGTATTCAGATGTACATCCCATGTCCATGAAAATTCATGCGTTCTGTATTGTGTCGCATAACCTCGGGGCCAAATTTAGTCCTTGCATGCGCGTGCACGAGTCCCAGTGTGCTCAGCGAGCAGCCCCACAGGCTCTCCAAAGGCCGAACTTAGATTTCAACACGGCTCAAGGATTCCTAGAGGAAATATTCACTGATATACTCCCCTAAACCCAGCTTCCAAGAGAGGAAACTGTCTAAAAAATGGAACCAACCCCGCTTCCTACTTTGACTCCATCTGATGGCAATTCTAATTATGATGCATTATTAATAAGGCATACAGTCATCTGTCTTGATGCAAAATCTGTTATGCCGTCCAAATGCGCGCAGCTGAACGTGTCTGTCCTCTTTGCAAAGGATGTCGTTGGAACCGGGAAGACCATGAGGGCCCTGCTCAGTAGCATAGAGAAGTACAAGCCCAACATGGTTAAGGTCGCCAGGTGGGTAGGACATTCATGTCATTGATGCTTCTTTGTGTCCAAAGAAGCCCGAGAGGGGCGCTAACACAAGAGGTTGTCCCCAAAGAGAGCAGTCTTTTCCAAACCAGTGACCCTTTGCCCTGGGGTGTTATGGCTTGACCACATTGAACAAACAGCAGCACATTTGACTGCCAGCCAGAGACAGAGGAAGGGGAAGAGGACATGCTTTGCTGGGTGTCTGAGCCTCTCGTTACTGCGCCTCCATTAGCAGCTTCCGGGAGCAGCTGGCAGAGCCTGGTGCCAGCGCCCCTCTCCCTTCCTTTTATCTAGAATCACTGATGTGGTGCCCCGGTAGCAGGAGCATGAATTAGGGGGCTGGGATGGTGCCCCATGTGCTCCAGGAGGTGGGGAAGGGGGGATACCTATTTTAATGATGTTCGGTTCTATTTGCAATTCCCAGAAGTTTTATCTGGATCACTAAACGCCTTTTTTTTTTTTTTTTTTTTTTTTTTTTTAATGGTAGTTTGTTGGTGAAGAGAACACCTAGAAGTGACGGCTTTAGACCCGACTGTGAGTGGTTTTGGTTTCTGTCGGTTGCTTGCTTGGTTGGCTGGTGTTGTTTCGTGTTGAAGCATGTCTGGTTTCCTATTTGCCGGCATTCCATGTGATACAGAAGCTAGAAAGGTTTGATAGTCCCACAGATCTCCCGAGGTGTCCCCAGCCTTGCTGATAGAACCCTTTACAACAGGACAGAACCCTTTACAATGAGAGTTTTTAATCTCCCAGTTCACATTTTTCACAGAAACTCTGTTGTGTGCAATGGATAGTTTCGCGTTTAGGTTTTCCATAGCACCTTAAAGCCAAAGAACTCAGCTAATGGGCTTCAAGGGGGTAGAGGGAGACTTGACCCCACCAGACTGGATGACACGCAGGATCCCTGCCTTGGCCACTGGCCCTGTCAGTCAGACCGAGAAGGCACTGTAGAGGGATCCTCGTACCATCTCCAGGAACTGTCACCAGACAACGCTCGATGCCAACTTTCAGCAAGCCTGAATTTTAGCATGCAAAAGGGGGAAATTCAAGACACCTCTCCCGTCACCCTCAAAGGAAAGTTCAATAATGCAGAGAATTGGCCGAGGAAGTATCTCCATATACCATCTTCGTACTTGACTTCATATGTCCTGGAGGATTTGGCTCATACAGGGCACTTGGCTACTCTCCTTCCCATAATACGAATTGTTCCAATGCCAGGAAGAATAAACAAGCAGCTTGATTATTTATTATTCTAACACTAGAGGCGACTTTTTTTTCACTCACTTCAGTTTGATTTTTATAACTTACATTTGCTCTAAAGCCTCTGGGATCATTTGGCTACGGTTCTCATCAGCAAGCTGAAAAAACATCAGAGCAAGAGAAGCACGCTATGGACGGGTAATGACATTTCACAAGCGACTCTTTATTCTAAAAACAAGTTTCATCCGTGCTAGGCAGATAGAACCAACAGCATGTCCCCGTCCAGGTCCTGGCCTGGAGAATATAATCTGGATGCAGTAAGGTTAGGCAAAGTTAGTAAACAGAAATCTTCGAAGGAAATCATGGAAGATCTCACAGAGAGAATTTAACTGAAGTTGAAAGATTCTCTTCAGACCTAGCCAACTAATTACAGATTATTTGCATCACTGACAGCAACAACATGAATAAAATAATGGCAGATAACACTAGTAAGAGGTCATGATGGGCCCTCCACTCTTCTAAGGGCAACACAGAGATCAACACATTTCCTCCTCACAACATTCGTCCAAAGTAGTTGCCTATTTCACAGCTGAGGAAATTGAACACAACAAGGTTCAATGGTTTTGGAAGGTCACGCTGCTGGAAGTGGAGAGTCAGTATTGACCGGAGTCAGTCTGGTTCTGATCACTGCCTTACTCTTGCACTACGTCTATAAGTAACATCCGCCAAGGGCAAATAGAAGTGTAGGAAATGCACCCATTTTCCAGCTGGACGTAGGTCACCCTGATTCCTAACCATCCCCCTGATCTAGTGATCCAATGTCCTTCTTTCCCTCCCCAACAGCTCTGGAGGTTTGACCTTCGGAACTGGCTTTACCCAGTCCCAGGTGCCATGCCTACTGTAGGCTTTGTTCAACAGCCTGTGCACCTGTGATGTCGTTACTATGGTGACAACCCGGGTGCTCTGGGATTTACTAATACCATTTTAGCTGGTTCAGAATCTCTGTTTCTTCTCCCTGGATTTCTCAGGCTTGATACTTTTGATTCCTTTCTCGTAATTGACTCTTTCCCGTATGCTCAATGACATCTTCTATATGCTCTGACATTTGTTCTTCTGCTCTAGCTTCTCCTCTTTATTTTTCTTAAGGCAATGTACAGTGTGGAGGGACCAAAGGGGGTTTCTATCAGTGACATAGAATACAATCCTTTAGAAAGTAAGCCCCTCTCTTCCGGCACTTTCTACAAGCAGGAGCTAGTTGCCTACTCCTTGTGAAACATCTTTGGTCATAGGAATCACAGTGGTGGTGAGTAGTCACCAGAGGAACAACTTTCTCCATGCTCTAAGTCCATTGGCTATACCGAAGTCCAGTTTCATAAAACTGAGTTCCTCTCTCATCTGCAATACTGTAATAAACAAACAGATTTTAAAAAAAAATCGGAAAGAGTTTAAAAACCCATTGGACAATAGGCATATTTATTCTGTTCCAAGACCTGTGAAGAAGGACCACTACTGCCTGTTCCTTAAAGATCCTTTTCCATAAAAATCACCTTCCTTTCAAGACACTTTTCCTTTGTTTAACCTAAGTACCTCATACTGCATTTAAATTCATTTACTCCCATTCTTCCCACAATAGAGATAGAGAGCTAATTCGTATCATGTCTCTTGAATTCAAAGACTAGTGTTAGAATAACCCTTAGCGTTCTCTTCCTCAAACTGAACAATCCCACTTCCTGTCATCTGGTCTCCCAGGTTTGGCTTCCCAGGCCTTTGTCCAGCTGAGGACACTGAGCACAGTGGGAGAATGGCTTCCAGTGGCAACAGCCTGTGCACCTAGTCAAGTAGTACAGGATTGGAATACTTCTGTGGGAACTGCACTTTATGCTTCCAAAGTATTTCCTTTGGCATTATATCATTGGAAGATGCTCGCTTCGGAACCACGGGGCTCCATGACTAACTCATGCATACTTCATGCTCTCCCCTAAGCTGGCTGAGCCCTTTCTCAGCTCTGTGTGGTAAGAGTATAGCCATCCTTCCTTGTATGTTTGCTTGTCTACCTATCTACCTGCCTACCTGCCTAGTCACTCTGGTCCAGGACCTGTTGAGCTCATCCTATGCTTTGCTTATCATTTTTCTCATGCTTGCTTCCCTTTAAATGAAAGATCCTCCAGTTTAAGTGCCAACATTAGCATATAGTGGCTTTCTACTCATTTGATTCCTTTTTATTTATTTTGTTCTCTCTCTCTCTCTCCTCAGATGTTGGATTTGAGATTCCAAACTTATTTGTGGTGGGTTATGCCTTAGATTACAACGAATACTTCAGAGATCTGAATGTAAGTCATGCATGCAAATCCCTAACTCCCTTTTCACAAGAACTTAACAGTTATACGAACTTAACAAATTATTAGAATAGTAGTCATGATGGCTGCCACTTACTGAGTATCTTCTGTGTCGGGACTATTCTGGGCACTTTGCATTCATAATTCCAGTTACCGTTGCATGCAGTTCCTATTCCCCATTTGGAGAAATGGTGTCAACATATATACATGGACCCCTAGTGTAAACCCCTCAGCTGTGTGACCTTGATCAATGTTGAATGATCTAGAGGTAAACATCCTACCTAAAGTGGACCAATTGTGTGCACTTTGTGACCTAGGGAGCCAGATTCATAATAGAGCTCAAAACCAGAACAATAATGAAACTTTTTCAAGCATTCGATTGGGTCTCTTTAGATTTTCTATACGTGCACACATAAATGCTCACATGTAATTTGAATGAACAATAACCAATTTTAATATGACATTCTGTTATCACTGCGTTACATTCTCTGCACCTCCTATTTTGTTGAGAAACTGAGTCATTTAAATCGTTTACTGTTTCAGCACATATGCGTGATCAATGAGCATGGCAAAGAAAAGTACCGGGTCTAAAGGAGTCAATTCTCACCATTGACTCTCCAGATAACATCGTAACTTACGACCACAGTTGGAAAGCCAGCATGTAGAGTTTGTCTCCCCAGGCATCTTCACTCAGCAGGATATAAAAGAAGAAAAAAAAATGTTTTAATGAGAGAGCTTTCTTTTCTGAGGTTATAACATAAAGAGTACCAAAGGTTGTTAAGGAAAAGAAAGCAATGCTTTATTTGACTTGTTCCAAATTAAATACTCCGCCTTGTGACTCATGAGTTCTACCTACCTTCACACTCTCTGAAACTTCACCATTCTTGATTCCAACACAGCCTTTAAGCTTGATCACCATACCCCCACCTAGTTACTCAAATATTTTTCACTTAACTTTTTTTTTTTTTAATATTCCGTTTTGGTAACATTTTGCAATCTGAAGAAACTGGAAGGCTTTCCAGTTAAGCTCTGAACCCAAATCCTGGGAATGCAACTAGATTCCCATACTAAAAAAGGAGAGAAAGGACAATTTAATATAAATTTCTGTTTGTGCATTTTTGGCAGGCCATAACTATTTGCTTTGACAAAGCCTTTTTGAACTGTAGCATATAATGAATCTTAATGATGTTATGAAATGAGCCTTTGCTCAGTGCTGTTGATACTGGCTTCCGGTATGTGATAACGGTGTGTCATGTCTGCATGGATGTACTCAACTGTGTTTAATACTCTGAATTTTAATTAGAAAAAATACAATGGCAGCAAGGCCCTCGTTTCTAAGCTGCATCTTTTTATTTGTGTGGGACATGAGCAAATGGCAGAATTCGCGGGGCGGGGGGTTCAATTCAAATCGAAGCAAGTCTGAGGTTTTTCCTCTTATTTACATCAAAGGACAAGACACTATTATATATTATCATCAACATGAACACAGAGGTTGAATAATTTTTTTGAGTGATCTTAGAAGGCTTATCCGACAGCCCAAGGCATCACAGAAAACCAGCACACTTAAGAAAGTTTTTTTCTGAATAACGTTTTTTTCCATTTCCACTGTTTTATGAGATGTTTTCTAATTTATGGGAATTTTAATTGAAAGTAAACTCGAGTGCCAATAGAACTGTTTTGTTTTTTTTTTCTCTTCCTAAAAGGAGAAAATGCAAAATAAATAACTAAGCGGCCTTTGTTTGGTTCTGAACCATATATGGCATATTGTTATCAGGTTCTAGCTTCCTTTAAACTAATAAAGAATAAAAAACCTTGTTACATTTCATAACTGCTTACTGTTTTTCTTCCGCCTTTGTATTTTTTATATACTTTCAGCCATTAAAATGTGTGAGCCAGTAGCTTAAATATACTACTGCATATCTCTTTCCTGGGGCTTTATTTTTGTTAACCTGGAAAAAATCCAGTATATGCACTAGTATAAGCAAACGATTAAGCCAGACTTGATCTACTGCTTTTTTTTTTCTCCTTAAGCTTGTTTGTAAGACAAAGAATTTTAGTTGTAAAAGATTTTCCTGAATATCTTTGTTCCAGTCAGAGAAGAAAATAAACCACACCCAGATATCCCAAGTGAGAAACCAGCAAAGGGAATTCCTTTTAGCTTTGTTCCGTAGAAGAATCAGTTACCAAATTAGAAATTGAAAATACTAATTGGCCAGTTTCTTAAATTATCAAATTTGTGTTCTAAATACAGTTTCCACTACGCCACCTTTATATCAGAAGACCTAGAAAAACCCAGATACATTTGATTATAAATATAAAATTACCCATAATCTTTACAAAAGTATTTTCCATAGAATGTTGAATTTTAGCAAATGTCAGTATAATTTCTGAGGACTGTATGTTTATTTGAATTAGGAAGGAAATTGATCTGCTTCACAAAATCTTGAGAAGGACTTGTGCTAGTTAATGCTGAAAAAGAAAAATCCATTAAACACACAAGAAATTTAATCATTCCTGCAATTTTTTTCCTATCACACAATATTTTGACAGTGATATCCAAGAATGTCATCTTGGGAAAAATAGTATTTCCTTTTCTCTTGCAAAATTCTAATCGGTTTAATACCTCAGGGTTTTTTCAATCCAGACCAAAAATGTAAAAATTCATAACCTGCTTAGCAACCGATGCATTTATTAATTTGGTATTCCAAAGCTGATTGGTGGGGGTGGGGCAGGGACAGACAAGTGTATGATGTTTTATTTGGATTCAGTTGCAGTAATTAGTAATACTTTTACTACAATAATACAGTTACCTAATCAGTAATACTTTGGGATATTCCAAACAAATTAGAACACTTCATTATAAATTGGTTCTTTCTTACTGGGTTGGAATGTATCCAATATTGAACCATGCACTCCCAGTGTGAACTGCAAATAGTTGAATCTTGATGCACCTTGTTTAAACTTTGGATGTCTTTGGGTATAAAATGGTTTACCATGTTCCAGGCCTTCTGAGTATTTTTTCAGCCTCCCATAGGATGAACTTGGGTTTCCCCAATGGAGAGAGAAGGTGACCCATCCCACTTCTAGAGAACTGGTGTCATGGAAATATTTCCTCACTTGTGTAATAGAGGTAGTATGTTCTTGGAAATCGAAACCCTAAATCACACTCTCCACCCAGATGTCTGGCTAATTTGGGCAAAAATAGCGTTTGGGATTTGTTGTTACTGTGCCATCATAAAGTTCCTTTGGGATCACCAGATGACACTTGAGGGCTGGTGGGCAGGCTAGTTTCAGGAGGGGAGCAAAGGGATTGTGGAAGGGAGGTTTGTGCGTTGATGTTGGGATGTATGTAGAGGGACAGAAAATGTACATGGAGAAGACTGCTTTGTTTCTTGGCCCAGTCATCTGCGATGTTTGGTTCTGAACCCTGTGGAGAGAAGGAGACAAAGACCCCAACTGAAAGAGCCACTTTCACCGTAGCCTTTGGGCCACACACTGGGACAGACAGGCCATTGACATTTCACTGAGGGTCATGCATAGTCCATTCCCAAAGGGGAAAAAAAAATGTTTTTGCCATTTCTTGACCCAAAGGACCCCCTTTTCTGACTTTTTCTGCCAGGGTGGGCTTTGCTCAGAGATTAGTAGGAGAGGCCATGAAGACAGAGTGGGATACTGAAGTCCTGCATTTTCTAAGGGGGAGAAATAAGCCTGAACTAATGTTACTGTAAATTTGTTTTTATCCAGAGCCTAATGGGTATTGGCTAGTAAATAAGCTGCAAATGAGGATAGTGAGTGTAGACGACTCTTTCAAGAAACCTGGCTGTGAAGACCAGAGACACATAACCACAGCAAGAGGGCTTTTAAAAGATGGGAAAAGCTTGTACATTTTTATTTACTGTGGAAAACAAAAAACAAGTGAACAGTAGAAACAGTGTATTCATTATCAATGGCTCTGTAACAAATCACTCCCCAAACTGAGTAGTTTAAATGAGCAATTATTATTTCTCAGGGCTTATGAGAATTAGGAAGATGGAGCAGGCACTGTGGGGATGGTTTGCTTCTGCTTCGTGAAGTCTTTTGCTTCAGCTGGAAGATTCAAAGGCTGAGGGCTACAACCAAGTGACGGTAAATGGTCCAATATGGCAGCCATTAACCACATGTATGTGTTTAAATTTAAATGAACTAAAATGAGGGGCGCCTGAGTGGCTCAGTGGGTTAAAGCTTCTGCCTTCAGCTCAGGTCATGATCTCAGGGTCCTGGGATCGAGCTCCGCATCAGGTTCTCTGCTCTGCCTGCTTCCCCCTCTCTCTCTCTACCTGTCTCTCTGCCTACTTGTGATCTCTGTCTGTCAAATAAATAAATAAAATCTTTAAAAATAATAATAATAAAAATAAGTAAATAAATTTAAATGAACTAAAATGAAGTAAAATTTAAAATCCACTTCTTCATTCGCATTAGCTACATACGCACTGCTCCATAGCCTCATAAGGGAGTAAGTTACCATATTAGCACAAAGAAAATTTCCACCATCCCAGAAAGTTCTGTAGGTAGCTCTGATCTGAAGGTTTGCCTGGTGGTTGATACTGGCTGTTGGCAGGAACCTTAGCTGAGGCTGTGGTCAGTCAATTCTTCTGTGTGATGTCTCCGTGTGGTTCAAACGTCCTCACAACATGGCAGCTGGGTTCCAAAGGCAAGTGCAGAAAGACAGAGACAGAAGCCGGTGGAAGCCATACAGTCTCTTAAATGACAGGCTCTCCACCAAATTCTGTTATTCAAAGCAGTTACAAAGACTTGTCTGAGTTTAAGGGGAGGGAACGTAGACTGCCACCACTTGATGGAAGAACATTATAAGACCATCATCCAGTGGGGTAGGATGTATATGGCTCTGGCCATTGTCAGAAAGCTGAAGATGAAATCTGCCACAGATAGGTTATTCCCTTGCCCATTTTCCACTCATGAGATTAGAGAAGAAGCTGATTATGCAGTGGTTATAATTCACACTTGTTTGCCTAGATTTTTAAGAATGACAGAATACTGGGGCACCTGGGTGGTTCAGTCAGTTAAGCATCTGACTCTTGATTTTGGCTCAGGTCATGATCTCAGGGTCTTGAGATGGAGCTCAGCGTGGAGCCCCACATCCGGGTCCATACTGGGCATGGAGCCTGCTTAAGATTCTCTCTTCCTCCCCCCCCCCTCCCCCCCCCCCCAAAAAAAAAAAAAAGAAAAAAGAAAAAAAGACGACTACTACTTAGCCACCTGGGGAAAGATGAAATGATAAAAAGAGCAGCGGAGTAGCCCACCTTGATTATAAAGAAATACATGTTTTCCCACTGATAGTGTCTGGACCAGATTAAGAAGACGTTGAAAGAGCAGTTTTATTTCTCTTATTATTAAGGTGCTTAAATTTGAAAAATAAAAACCACAGTAAAATAGTTTTTGCTTGCCAAGTATTCTGCAAATGTAAATTCAAGTGGAAACTTTAGAAGTAGCTCCATTTTTATAGGAAGGAATTGCCATATAATTTGGTCAAGAACCTAATCCAGAATGGGACTCCCTATATATATTTATATAACATCATGCTGGAAATAGTACTCACCAAATCAATTAAAAAACATTTTTAAAACAACAAATCACTGAGTTCTAACCAACAGGGCTTCTGATAAAAACTGCTGTGTCCGATTTGTCTAATCTCCTAATATTGAATGATGGAGCTGGTGGACTGGAAAAAGGAAGTGCTGTAATTTGTCTTATCTTTATTTGAACAACGCTTTTGGTTGTGCCGCATGAAGAATATTCATCAATAGCCTGGGAAAATGATTTATGCTGCACTATGTACACTATGTACACTATGTATGTAGCTGCTGGGTGACTGCGCTAATCTTTATGGTTGTATTTAGTAGAGAACTATCATGAGCATAACAAAACATTGTGAAAGACTGGAACCCAGACATTGAGTGTGTTGACATATTGCAAAGTTCTGGCCGCAACTACTGTGGGTCGTGCACTATACACAATCTTGACAATAATTCAATTTAGTATCTAGCATGAAACCCACAGGTAGGAACCAGCACCTCCATTTTAGAGATAAGGAAATGAGCACCAAAGAGATTAAGTCACTTACCCGGGGGTCACAGAGCTGTGTTCAAAACAAGATGTGGAAACAGTGTTATTAGACTGCTGGGTCAGCACTCAGTACACTGACCTGAGTTCATGGACCATGAATGGAAGTGTGTCCATAGATTCGCAGGTGATAATCAGATGAGGAGAAGAAAGAATGGTGTGGAATAATAAGAATCGTGTTCGGTCTTT